GGGTTTAGGGTTTAGGGTTTAGGGTTTAGGCTATTTAGGGTTTAGGCTATTTAGGGTTTAGGGTTTAGAGTTTAGGGTTTAGGGTTTAGGGTTTGGGGTTTTGGGTTTAGGGCCTAGGGTTGAGGGTTGAGGGTTTAGGATTGTACTACAATAAGGAGCCTCCCCAGGACCCGGAAGGGGGGGCCTTAACAACTGGAAGAGGGTTTTGGGGTTCCTCTAAAGGGCTCCTTAAAGGGTTCTATAAGGGCTACTATAAGGGTTTAGGGTTTAGGGGCCTTCACAACTAGAAGAGGGTGTTGGGGCCCATTATACTATAATTATAAAGCGGAGCCTCCAGAGGACCCGGAAGAGGCCTTCCTTCGGCTTTTGGGCTTAAGATTCAGGATTTAGGGAGTTTAGGGCTTGGGGTTTAGGGTCGAGGGGATTAGGGTTAAAGGTTTGGGGTTTGGGGTTTAGGGTCTAGGGTTCAGGGTTCAGGGTTTAGGTTTTGTGTGTCCTGTCGGTTTTACATTTTTTTGTTTTCGGGCACGGTATTTTTTGTCAATGTGTATGTCTTTTTGTTTTCTGGTTTTTGTTTTTGTTGGTCAGGAAGAAAGAAAGAAAGGACCGCAGAAAGAAAGAAGGAAAGGCCCGAAAGAAAGAACGCAAGAAAGCACGACATAAATAATGGAGGGAAGAAAGAACGAAAGGAAGAACAAAATACATACGGAACGAAAGAAAGAAAGGCAGGAAGGACGGAATAAATAAAGGAAGAACGAAAGTAAGAAAGAGGCAGACAGAAAAGAATAAACACAGGACAGAAGAACGAAAGGAAGAACGAGGAAGGATGGAAGGAAGGAAGAAAGAAAGAAAAGAATACTATTAAAACACCACCCCCTCATTTGGTGATTCAGGTTCATCACATATCTTAAACACGCCCCCGCATACGGCGATTCCGGTTCATCACCACCGCCTTCTCCGCCTCACGGGTCTGGGCCTTCGTTTCGCCACATGAGGGAGCGGGTTTTTCAGACATATGATGAACCGGAATCGCCAAATGAGGGGTCGTGTTTCACATATATGATGAAACGGAATCGCCAAATGAGGAGGGCGTGTTTCAGATATATGATGAAACCGGAATCGCCAAATGAGGGGGCGTGTTTAGGATGTATGTTGAACCCGAAACGCCAAACGAGGAGGCATGTTTAAGATACAAGATGGTCCGGGCGCGCACGGTCGCTTTAAAGCATAAGAGTTTTTTTGAAACCCATCATGCAAACATTGTGTTTGCAAACGGGGGGAGGCTGCTCCCCCCCCCGAACCCCCCACTTTTTTAAGCCTTGCATGCTTGCTTCAAACCATATGAGTCTTTTTTGAAAGCCATAATGCGAGCATGCTGTTTGCAAATGGGAGGGTTGCCCTGCCAACATCTGCCAACTCGGCCGCTTTTTAAGCCGCGCAAGCTTGCTTCAAAGCATGTGGGTGTTTTTCAACCCTATCATGCGAGCATCCTGTTTGCAATGGGGGGCTGCTTTTTTAAGCAGCGCAACCTTGCTTCAAAGTATATAACTTTCTTGTGTTGAAACCCATCATGCGATCATTGTGCTTGCTGCGCCCCCGCAACCCCCCGCTGATGAAAATATCGGAAAGACGAGGTTATCCTTTGCAAGTATATAAATGACATGGCAGATTAAGATATATGATGAACCGGAATCGCCAAATGACGGGGCGTGAAAAGACAAATGAGGGGGCGTGTTTCAGATATCTGATGAACGGGAATCGCCACATGAGGAGGCGTGTTTTGGATATATGTTGAACCGGACAGGAATCGCCAAATGAGGGGGCGTGTTTCACATATATGATGAATCGGAATCGCCAAATGAGGGGGCGTGTTTCAGATATATACATATGATGAAACCGGAATCGCCAAATGAAGGGGCGTGTTTAGGATGTATGTGGAACCGGAAACGCCAAATGAGGAGGCATGTTTAAGATATGAGCACCAGCACCAACAGCAGCAGCAGGAGCAGCAGCACCAGCAGGCAGGAGCAGCACGACAAGCACCAGCACAAGCAGCATCAAATCCTCCAATAGCTTGACTCACGGGCAAACCCTTAAAAGTAGAGTCCCGCAATAGCCTGACGCACAATCAAACCCCGAAAACTAGAATCCAAAATAGCTTGACACACAGGCCAATGGCTTGACCCACAAACAAACCTTGAACAGTAGAATTCCCCAATAGCTTGATGCACAAGCAAGCCTTGAAAACTAGAATCCCCCAATGGCTTGCTGCACAAACAAACCCATCCTCCAATAGGCTGACGCACAAACAAACCTTGAAAATTAGAATCCTCCACTAGCTAAAGCTTATAAAAGCAGAACCTCCCGCCAAACACTTGAGAAACAAAACACCTCTTCAGGATTTAGAGCTTGTGGAGGGTATTACGCGTATGATTTTGGGGTTTAGTGCGGGGTGTCTGGGATTTACGGTGAAGCCAGAGACTCCAATAATCCTCAATTAAGGAATATATCTTAAATCTTAATAGGGATCCTACTATAATTTGAGGTATATTTCTTAATTAAGGACTATTGGAGTCTCTGGGTAGCTGTTTTGGGGTGTTGAGGGCATCGGGCTGTAAGGTTCGAAAAAAGCGTCACGTCATGGACATCTGGCTTGCGAAGCCCCCCTCACGCATGGTACAACTAAAGAATTCAGGTATAGGGAGTAGGGTTTAGGGTTTAGGGTTTAGGGTTTAGGGTTTGGTTAAAAACCCTAAACCCGGAACGCTTGAGCCTTTCTACCGGGAAGTCGTGAACCTTTAAACCCTCACAGCCAGACCCTGAACCTTATAAACAGGCTTCACCTCTTTTATCCTTTATAAGTTACGCCCCAGGCATTTGTTTTTCTCTGTTGTCGGTCTCAGCCCTTTGCAGTGTGCAGATGTTCCTTACGATGCTGTTGGGTCTAGATGTCTACGATTTAAAGTTTACGTAACACAGTACACCCCACTAAACCCCAAATCCTTTGAACAAGCTCGACCCCCAAGCCCCAAACAGAAACAAACAAACCCTTGAACAAGAACCTAGCAAAGCCGAAAGTCCCAAAAATGTCCCACCCAACTCGCAACCTGAACCTGGAAAGGAACCAAAGGCACTGAACCCGAAGCCCTAGCCGCCGAATCCGAAGCGTTCATGAGGAGGGTCCTACCCTACCTACCCCCGGGCTGCATCCTAAACTCCAAACCCTGCATCCTGAGCGAAACCGCATTCTACCTTCTTTTGAGCCCTCAAGCAGTCCATAAGACCCTTCTGTCTCCCTTGTTTAATAAGCCCTAAACCCCAAAGCTTAAACCCCAAACCCTAAAGCCTGAAGCCCTAAAGCCCGAAACCCGAAAGCCCATAAACCCTCAACACTCCCAGAGACTCCAAAACCCCTTAAGGAATAGACCTTACGTCATATTAGGATTCCTATCAGGGTTTAAAGTATAATTCCTTAATTAAGGGGTTTTGGACTCTCTGGGATCCGAGCCGCAGAGCTTGGGTAGGAGATCCGGAAGGTTCTCCGCCAGTTCGAAGCCGGGGGGCTCAGAGTCAAACTTACGGTTTAGGGTTTAGGGTTTAGGGTTTAGGGTTCAAAGGGGGTTTGGGTTCCCGGGGACCTTGGATCTAGGGCATACCCGTGGCCCGAAAGATTTACCTTTTTGTTAAAAGAACTATATATATATATATATAAGCCATAATGGATCTAAGGTTTCGGGCCTAGGGTTTAGAGTTTAAGGATCTAAGGGCTTATAGGGTTTTTAGGGATCTCAGGGCTTCGGGCCCAGTGATCTTAGAGTTTCGGGTTTAGGGATGTAAGGTTTGGGGTTTAGGGATCTAAGGGTTCAGGGATGCTTAGGGTTTGGGGCTAAGCAGCTTGTGCAAAAAGACTTCATAAGGTTTGGTTCAACTGTGTGTTATATGGTGTTCATACGATGGCGCTGTTGCAGCATTTGGGACGATGAGCTGCGTGTTTGTGGTCAGCCTTTTTTTTTTTGCTGGGGGCGGGCTGTTGCAGTTGGGACGATGAGGATTATGTGGAAATCTGTGGGTTTGTAGTCTAGTAGGCCTTGTCTCCTTTTTTGCCGGGGGCGGGCTGTTGCAGCATTTGGGACGATGAGGAAACTGTGCGGCGTGCCGCACCTCAAGCACTCAGGTTGCGCCGGAGGTTTTTGCCGGCGATGTCCACGGCCCCCCATCCGACTTGTTTGCGTTGGGAGCCGCGGTGTGGGTGCTGCTGTCTGGCGGCACTGCGCGCCAGGCAAGTGGAGCATAGGACGGCGCAAGGTTGCGGCAACTCTTGTGTTTCAAGCAGGACATGCCGAGCCCCATCCTGGCGCACTGCACGGCGCCACCATTGTTTCAGGAAGGCCGCCGGCCCCCGGATGCTCGTGAGGAGGCTTGATCATGCTTGACCTTGGACCCGTCATAACAGAAACACCCTCTGATTGAATTCAAGACTTAACTTGTTGAGCAAGTTTCGAGACTTTTGGTGTTTTTTCCCAAACATCTCGGATGTTGGGTTCTCGTTTAGGTTCCCTGCAGGGGTGAGCGTTAAGTTTGATACGGCTTGCGGAACCTGCGTCTCAGCAAGGCGCAAGACCCAGCATCAACAGCGTCCGCCGGTCCTGCCCCAAAATGCCTTACCCCGCCCCGGAGCGATTTTGAACGGTGTTCGTCAGGAAGCTCCGTCCGCACTCCTGTCCGCGCCCGTACCCTCTTGAACGCTCACCGTCCGCACCCCACCGTTGTTGGAGTGTATTGTGCCAGTCAGTCAGGCCTGCCTCTACCGTCTACTTCCTACTTGTAGAATGCGCTTGGGGTGCTGTCTTGTGGCTTCTGATTTGGATACGGATGCATTAACATCCCTGCTTAACGGCGTCTCAGCACGGAACAGGTTCCAGTGCGCTGCCACCAACATGACTGTGAGGACATGCTTCGCGATGCTCGTTGGGCTTAGGTACCAGCACCGCAGAGTCGTGCCTCACACCACAAGAAAAGTGAAGGGATAAAGGCCGGCGGCTTTGCATTTGCGGTGCTCGGAATTGAGTGCTTGATAGCGTTCCATGCATCAGCCAAACCCTCAATTGCCTGTGGGAAAGGTTCTCGATGCTGATCTGCTAGAAGTCTATGAACATGTGGTGGCACATGGCTCTGAGCACGCATCGTGTTTCGGACAAGTCCCCTTTCTGCTGAGCAGCCAGCTTCCCAGACGCGCCGTCTTCAGTTCGTGTAGCTTTGCGAGTTGGCTGCAGGTTGCATCCCATCTGCGCGATGGGTGGTTACTGCAAAACCGGCGGGAATCTGGTCAGCAATGTGGCTCTGGATGAGGGCTCTGCCCTGTTGCCCCTTGCTTCCACAACTCAGGAAGGGCGGCAAGGCTGTGAAGGGCCTGAAGGGTGACAAAGGACAAGGAAAAGCCCGGCGGATGGAACAAAACTTTGACGTGCCGCAAGCTTGATGAAATTGAATTCTACTTGCCCCCGAAGCTCTGTCACAGGCAATTGCCCAGGAGCCGGCCCCTATGCCGAAGAGCCAAGGCCAGCTGCATAATGTCTCTAGCACATGCTTTTGCAGGCACGGGGAACCCAAGCGAACAGGCAAAGCCGGCATGAAGTTCAGAAGTCATACAGTTGACGGCAATGTTTTTTTGCCCATTGCCCCGAGGCCGAGCGGGAGTCCTGCTTGGGCCCCCACCGTACCGGCCTTGTTGACCGCACCCGGGCACGCTCATCCCCCCTTACTCCGCCCGTACCCTCTTTAACCCTTCTTTTTTGACCAAACCCTCCCCCATCCTTTACCCCCCACCCCACCCCCCGTACTTCGTCCGTTAACGCCCGCGCCCTTGCACCCCTGGACCCCATGCGCCCGTACCCTCGTTAATTTAAATCTCGTTAACGCTCACTGTCCGCAACCCAGCACCCTGCTCATACCCGCCTCTCGGTTACTGGGATCTGTGTCAGCAACATGCTTAAGAATTTGTATGCCACAGACAACACTGTACCCCGATGCTTGGATCTGCATGAAGAGGAGTGGAATGTAGAATTGGAAAATTCGCGAATTTGGAGCCTGGTGAATTTCTGAATTCCTGAATTTGGTTTTTCTGCCTGTGCCGGACATGCATGGGCGAACTCGAAGCATGATGAACATTTTTCTGCATGGAGGAGTGAGCAGTCTGGACATCTGGCTGAGTGGGCGAACAGTGATGTGGAGATCTTCTGAAAAGCTAGGGTTGTCGACAAAGTGAGGGTTGCAGTGGAGTGCGCGTTGTTGTGGAGCAGTGAGGGGCGTGATGTTCCTGTGCACAGGGTGCTGATGGCCGAAAGGGCCTGATAAATTTTGAGCAGAGTGGATTCGCAGAGCGAAATCCCTCCCCACACAGCAACATCGTACAGAAAGGATGTGTTGCTCTTTTCGGTGTCGATGTGTATGCACCTGATTGACCCTGCATCGTATGTCCGTCCTAGCCGGGCGGGAGGCAAAAATACCCGCCTGCACCCCGCCCGTACCTCGCACGTACACCGCACGTCCGCACCGGGGCGGGGTAGAGCATTTTTGCGGCAGGACCGGCTGACGCTCATGATGCTGGGTCTTGGGGTCTTCCGGATAAACGCTTTTTCGTTGAGGAGTGCAAAGCGGGAGTGCGCGAGGATGGGGCGACCGAGGGGGTGCGCAGGGCTGGTCGACTCAGGGGCGCAGAATCGCGGATGGGTATCGTAGCAAGGATAAGGTGGCCGGGGAGCGGGCAGGTTATGGTTGAGGCTGACAAGATCGCATCAGGTCCTCCTTGCATAGGTTTGTCTTGATGTGATCCGGACTGTTTTTGGGTTCTTGGCTTGACCCTGTTTGTTCAAGCCAGGGGCTCACAGCCAGTGGGCCCACAGCCAGCTTTTGAGCATAAAAGGAGCTCGCGCTACACAGTGGCATTTTAATGTCCCAAAGGTTGACGTGTTAAAGTGGGTGTTTTCAGTTGGTTTGTTACAGGGTTTAGGGATTGCCCGAAACATCATGGGACTTACGAAGTCAATGTTCATTTGGGTTCTATAACCCTAAACCTTAAACCCTAAACCTAATATAAGGGTCTAAATCATTAATTAGCTAGGCTGTTTTGGGGCTTCCTCATTATAACTATAGTATCGTCGACTCCAAAACCGTCTTAAGATTATTAAGGCCCCTAAACCGTAAACCCTTATAGTGGCCCTTACAGAACCTTTTAAGGAACCCTTTAAAGGAGCCCCCAAAACCCTATTCTGGTTAAAACAGGCCCCTAAACCCTAAACCCTTATAGTGGCCCTTACAGAACCTTTTAAGGAACCCTTTAAAAAGCCCCCAAAACCCTATTCTGGTTAAAAAAGGGCCCTAAACCCTAAACCCTTATAGTAGCCCTTATAGAACCTGTTAAGGAACCCTTTAAAGGAGCCCCCAAAACCCTGTTCTAGTTAAAAAGGCCCCTAAACCTACATAGCGTAACCCGAATTCGGGTCCGTATGACCCTGCTTAGACCCTGTTTGCCAGGTCCCCAAGGCATGAGTACAAGCTCTTCGTAAGGTTAGGGTTTAGGGTTTAGGGTTTGGGGTTTAGGGTTCAGGGTTTAGGGTTCAGGTTCTACACTTGTTTTAGGCTTTCGGGTCTGGGGGATATGGAGTTTCATGCGGTTCGTTGAGAGTCTTTGGCAGGACTTTGGTGCACACGGTTTTGGGGGTCCTTAGCCACAGCATCTCTTCGCCCCAAACATGGCTGGGAAGGCTATGCTGCAGCGCGGATTCTCCACGTTGCTGTTGCACTGCCTGATCAAGCCCGGTAAGCCCCCGATAAAGCCGCCGATAAACCCGCATTCTAGCATAGAAGCCTAAATAATTACTTATATACATTATTCCTTAGGGGTCCTTAATATAATTATAGTATAAGGGGCCCCAAAACCCTATTTTTAATTAGGCTTCCACATGATTATTGAGGCCCCGAGAGTGATCAGACCTCCAGTGATCCGGCCCAGGAAATCGTGAACCTGCCGGCAACCTACCTTGAAAAACAGGAGCATGCCTGACTTTCAGGCTGTAGGCTTTAGGAATATCGAGGCTTTAAGGTTTGCGGTCTAGCTGCTTCATGATTTAGTATTTTTTGGCTAGTTTAGGTTTAGGGCTTTCAGATTTCAGGGCTTGAGCTTAGTCCTTGTTTGAGGGTTTAGGGTTTAGGGTTGAAGACGTGTAGGTTTAAGGGGCAGGGTTCTACAGAAGAAACATATGGCCCAACTCACATAATCCTGTGCTGACTATGTAGCACGTAGGGTTTAGGACCCTTTCTGGTGTCATGGCAGGTTCTGATACCCTTTCGATGTTTCCCTTTTCTCACACCTCTTCTCTGGCTTTTTGATCCGAGAGTGGGCTTGGCTACTTGACATGTTTGCCAGTCCACTCTGGTATCTGAACGCACTCAAGTGGCCTGCCGAACCCAATGAGGAGAACATAACATGGCTCGAACTGGCAATCGATTTCCAGTCGAGCACCCATGTGATGCTGCATCAACAGCGTGAGGAACC